GGGGGGGGGTGTATAGTTTGTTTGCTTTTTTGGGCGTTTTTCTTTGGAGGGAGCGAGTGGGGTCTTTACCTACCCTGTTAATTTTGAAAGTAATATTACCTCATTTGGTGTTACGCTTTGGGAATGATACCGTCCAATTTATATTTTAATCAAATTGTGATGCATCAACCGGCCATCTTCAAAACGAACGTTATTATGACATGAAAGTAACCAATTCAATGATTTAATCATGTAGAATTTATCTTTTTTAGAATGAATAAACATGACCATATATCTTGTATGCTATCCACAGTTCTTTATTTTGTTTTTTTTTTTTTTTTTTAGATTCATTTCATAGCCATAGATTTGTTATGCTAGACCGTGCACTGTCATGGCTGCAGGTCTCTGTGCTCTTGATATAAACTTCGCAGCCAAAAATGTTTGCCACAGGCTGCACCACATCTGAAATCAGTCTCGTTATAGAGGAGTGCGAAAGGCACCCTTCCCCCTTTGTACTTCATTTGGCTCAAATTGAGTCAAATGGTGCAGTCCATAGTTAATCGGAAATACGTCAGAGTGCATGATCTAGAATATCGTAATACAAATTTCGTCGTCAGAGTGCATGATCTAGAATATCGTAATACAAATCTATGGATTCCTATGCACGTTGTCGTGCCTAAAATGTTTCGCCATCGTCACAGAAACCTAACATGTGCTACAGATACAACCGGAACCGTGAATGATAGTTTTACATACGTCCCTGTAGACACAATATAGATTATCCCTTTCCCAATATCGTTATTCTAAGCCACATTCCCCTGTCCTGGATGTCTGAGCATCCATACATAAAAAGTAACAAAATTCCTCAATTCCCCTGACGCGGGTGACGTAGCACCCACACTCCCCGGTACTGATCAACAACCTGTAATTAGCATTGCCCTTTTCTTTATAAAACAATACCTGGAGCGAAGCCAAAAGAATGTTACATGTTTTATTTTCCGGGTCAATATTCTACATTTACTGCCAAATTGGGGTTCAAAATGTACAAAAGAATTCTTAATGTTGAACTTGAGGCAAAACATAATATACTTCTGAAATAAAGTCCAGCATTGGAAAAGCACAGGCTGCTTTCATATCTTTGGAAGACCAGTGATATCTCACTTCGAACAAAGCTGAGGATTTTCAGTTCAAGTGTGAAGTCAGACTTGTATGGATGTGAGACATGGAACGCATCTCAGACTTGTATAAAGAGGATCCAGGTTTTCTTGAAAACGTGTGTAAGAAAGTTACTGAGGATCAGATGGACAGACATGGTCACCAATGAGGAAGTGTGAAAACAAGACAGATCCCGGTCAGAGAAGAAGTAGGAAGAAGGCGGTGGCGATTAATTGGACATACTCTCAGGAAGTCAGGCAGCTGAATAACAAAGAAAATGAAGAATAGGAATCCACAGGATTAAAGATAAATGGGAGGACCGCGTGGAACCTGGAGAAGAGTCGCAGAAATTGATGTACAGAAAGTGGGAAGACACGGGATAACATCAAGAGGCGAGCCCAGGATAGAGATAGATGGAAAGTGTTTGTTCGTGGCCTATACCCTGGTGCAGAGTGAGAAAGGCAATGACGGTGATGACGCTGCAATGTTAGAGTTTCAGCATATGCATTAAATGACTTAAAGACATACAATCCGGGCAGGCAGATTTTTTGTTGGCGTTTGTGAACAGGTGTATTTCCTGCGCTTGTCGCTCTGATGTGAGACTTTTATGTCTTCCTTCAAAGAGGACAAAGTTGCAACTTGTTGCTTTTCTTTCCAGATGCTCAGGCTGCTTCTCACGGATAGGAGCCAGGGCATCTTTTGCTCTTCTTGTCGACCTGTCACTGTTAGTCTATCATCGAACCTAAGACAAGTCATAAGAGCTTCGAAACGCTGGTGACTGAAAAGCGATCTGACAAAGTTA